AATGAATGTTCCAGTAAAGCCAATCGACGGCTGGTCAAGAAGAATCCGCCGTAATCTTCTGGTGGAAGCGAATCTTTTTCGAATCTTTTTACCAAACATTTTCATTCGAAATGCAAGTAAGCTTAACAAGTATAAAAAGAAATTAACACTCTCTTCAGTCGTGCAGTCTTTTGGAGAATTTTAAGACCCTCTTTCTGGATCAGGTTACTAAAGGATTTTGTGCTCATGTGTTAATGTCTATATGGATAAGGTCTGCCGGCCCATCCACAAGAGAGTATCGGAACACAAATCCGCTTGCAAAGGTCTATGGGTTCAAAAATGTAAGCTCGCTAGGCACATGGTACTGAACAGGACACTCAATAGGCTGGTTCAAAATACAACGTTTTGCGAGTTACGAGAAGTTGTTATCAAAGCATAAGATTGAGAAGTTTATATAACTTGACCAAACAACCCACATGCTGAAAGGGAGGAAGGAGTGCAGAAACTTACGTAGGAACTATGAGTGGATGTTGGATAAGCCTAAGGAGAGAGGGAGAGAGTGCCGGAAGAGCCACTGAACAAGAGAAGGTTGGACAAGCCTCGAGTCTAACTACTACCATCACACATCTCATGACATGAACAATACATACACACAATCAACAATAGCACAAATCAAAACATGAGTCAACATTCGAGGATCGTGTGATGGTTTATTTATTTGTGTAAGGAAACTGCTGCCCGCGAAGGTACTTCCTGCTCGCGAAGTAACTCCATTCACTACCGTTGTAGAGTAAGGTTGAGGCAGTCCGACTAAATCGTGGAGTATGAGATGTATCCACTATATTTCATGTAAAGTGGTGAAGGACTGGTAGTGGAATTTTCCCACAATGATATGAGAGCCGACGTTTCCATTGAATTTAACATAGCTTTGTTTTCATTCCGGTTGGAGTGGACTGCAGTTTCGACCTCGCATCGGTCTTGTCAACACCCTCAGCGGGAGTCGAACCGTGAAAATGCAGAATGGGAACTCGACACGATAACCACTCGACCACATTGCCACGAGTGCCATTGGGTCACAGAGAAAGTGTGAATTTCAAGAAAGGCCTTTTGCCATAGCATATTATTTGGTGGGATTGTCGATGAAGCAAACGTATATTTGCTATAACAGTCGACTACATTACTTATTTATCGTATATAAAGAGTAGTAGTCTCGAAATTCTGCTTATATACGAAAAATAAATCGTCAAGTGCCTCATCAAGATCGTAAGGATGGGTGTATAAAAATGTGATTAGTGTTTCAGCCAGATGCCTTTTATCTTGGTTTAGTATAGTCTTTATGCTATATCGTAGAGTAGGAATTATTTCCCTCGTGATGTCTGTCGCAGCGGTACGGACGAGAGCTTAGCAAGCAAAGGTGTGGGTCGAAGACTTGTTCGCACAATCCGGCATTCTTCACTCCACGCCAGTCAATCCTGTTTTGGCTTGCGGTGAGATCATTTCACGAATTTCTTTTAACCCACTTTTCCTTCGAAATGGAAGGTAATGCCACCAAAGATCTATCCACTTCCTTCTACAGATCTCCTGGCAGCCTCACAGCCTATTGATTTGAAAGGCAGTAGTACTTTCACTTATGCTGGCGTCTACAAGTTCGCACGGCCTAATTGTGAATCTGCAAACGCACCGCCAGCCAGCAAAGCTTGCAAATCACATCTGCCCCGAAGGCGACTGGAACCGGCTCGACGAGCACGACTCGCCTCCATATCTCGCCGAGCAAGGTAGCGCACGGGTCTCATGTGATGTGGGCCGAATGAGAAAGTCTCATGGGAGGCAATGCCGAGCCAAATTCACTGTGAGAAACAATCAGGCTTTCTGTCACATTAAGCCACCCAAGCTGACCATGCAGTGAAAGGGTGGGTTTAGAAGAGTCCCTTTGCCTCCAAATATCAAGCCCATTTACGCTTCGAATAAATGCGTGTGTGTATTTATGTATGTATG